TATTTCTGTGTTGTGTCAGTATCTGTATATGTAGTATTAGGTAGTGTGAGATTTTTATGGGGTCTATGCGTATGTCAATTTATTTTTCCATCCAATTCTCTCTACCCCCTCCCTTCATTTTGCTCATCTTTCCTCCTTAATCAGACTCAATCCTTAGCTCCCCTCATATTATGTCACTTCCATTATCATCTTCTTTTTTGTCTTTCTCCCTCCAGCTACAATAAAAAAAAAAAAAAAAAAATGTCAATATACAATTAATTTTTTTTTCTCCACTCTATCCTACCTCATGCAGTGTCTAGCTTTTCTAATCTCACTTTACGGGAAGCTGGCTGGTGAATCCTAAAGCCTGCCTCCACACTGAAGCGACACCGCATGGGTGAGGTGTGGGAGTCAGGGGCGGGGCTATAATGTGACATCATATCTCCGCTGCTTCCACACACCAGGAAATTAAGCACTAAGATCAGCAGAGGGAGAAGGGATCCATCGTTAATAATGCTGTCTACAGAGGCCCTGCGTGCTAGTGAGCCGGATAGGAAATTCTCTAATCTCCCCAGCTGGTTCACAACTGGGTTTAACATGGGCAGACCTCCAAGAGCCTTGGGCTCAATTTCCTGATGGCTCAGTCAGCCCTTAGTTGGGAGCTGTGTTGGCTGCATGGCGCCCCTGTTTCTATGGCGCCATGTGCGGCCGCACAGCTCGCACACCCCAAAGGCCAACCCTGACCAGCAAAATACTTCAGGCTAAAGTCTTGTCCTCTACCCACTGGACAGAAAGATATCCCCTTTTGGCCCATTCCTTGTTTTAACTGGAATCAATGAATCTGCCTGCTCCCAACACAATATTTGGAAAGACGCTCACAAGCACAAATGATTTAGCTCTCATTGCGCAGTCCCTTGAATAACAGAGACAACACCCCTCAAGAATACTGTAATCACTTTCTACAATGCCTGGACCAATCTCTAACAACTCTATATTAAACATGTAGCGACACAGACAAAATGATATATGATATATAACAGCAGAGGGGAACAGGTAACCAATATCAAATTATAATAAAATATTACTCAGTAATATAGTGGGTTCTGTCAGAAACAGGTATAGCATAGTATATACAAGTCCCTTCTATGCAAGTAGATATCCAGTTCACCTTAAATGTTACCCTGAAAGCCTGACTCTCAGTAGTAATTAAAAACTAACAAAATATGCTATAAATTCTCTTTCTTAACGGGAAATTGTTCTGCAAAGAATAAAAATATTCATAAATAATTTGCTCTGATTCATTCGGCACAGGGTCTCTTACATAAAAAGCAATGACATATATTAAATATTAATCCATAATAAGCTTGTCTATTCTGTGATATTTGCCTAGCAAAATCCAGATTTATCACAACCTCTTATAGAATTACACTGCAATATATAAGTGATCTGCAGTTTTCAGGGTTCCTGTATTTTTGTCAATAGGTGACTTACTAACGGTGACTGACCTATACATGTACAAATTTCTTCTCAGTCTTTTGGGTGGTCAAAAGTTGGCTAAAATCATGGCAGGTAAGATTACAATGCTAGGAGAACTGTTTGTTCACTATTGTGGTTAATAGTTAAATAATTCTTGAACATTTACACAAGCAGTACTTTACTATGACGAGGGCTTAACTCAAAATATAAAATATTTTGCCCTTTCAGTGGATTTCTTTGTTGTTAATTGGGGATTGTTCTTTTTATGAAAGCTGATATTTATGCAGGATATCTAAATCATAATTGAGGACAAATAATTGTTTCATATTCCGTAAAGGCAGTACTAAATTCAGATAAGATGGCACCTAGCTGAAAGAAACATAAATAGCTAGAGACAACAAATCGAGCCCTAAATGACTGCACATATATTTAAAATACCTTTAGCCAAAGGGAAGTGTGGGCAGATTCTGCCTATGATTGTAAGTGTTTATAGACAGATTTCCTCCACAAACAAGGAAAATGCCTCAATTAATGCTAGGTCAATGCTGACGCATTTCAGAATTTCAGAGTCTAGCTAATAAAGGCACAAAAATGCATCAGAGTTGATCCATGGCTTCCCCCTGCATGTGTCAGCCACACTGGCAAATAAAAATAAAGGTCGTTTTTCCATTATACATGTGGATTGAGGCATTTTCCTTTTTTTGTGGGGAAGATCTGGCCCGGACTGGCAGTATGTACTTCTGGTATCCATGTGTGCCAGATTGACCCACTTAGGCAGGCACATTGTCTGAGTTAATTGAGCCATGCTCTGCTCACTTCCTCACCCGATAACACACCTGTCAAAGATAGCAGGTCTAGATTACTACATAAACTGATGTATAAACTGATAGCAGCCAATTAAAACATATTTCCACTCATTTCTGTGTGAAGAATACAGCTGTAACTGGGGGATAACCTACTTATCCAATAAACCCCTGCTGCAAAGGCTCCATAGACCTGACAGAGAGGCTCCTGATTAGTGACCTTTTTCTGTCCAGAGGGGCATCTACCTGTGCAAGCTTCACGAGTCCAAGATGACTATTTTTTTTAACCTTTGGGTTTTTTTTAAACTTTTTTTGCACCATTTTTTACAATTCCTTTTTTATTCAATTCAGTAAACAAACCGTGGGTCATATTCTGCCTTTCATGTCCCTCTATGTACTTAAATGAATCAGTAATAATAAGATCCATTCTTGCTGTAGACTCAACATTATTCTATCGAAGCACTGAAGAGTTAAGAAGAAAAGTGTATGTGCAAAGATTCTGTAACTAGGACTCTGAATTACACTGAGTCTTCTTACAATAAAAAAGAGAAATTTTATGTGCCTTCTGGCCTATGAAACCTGGCAAACCAAAATATAAAAGCAATGGCAGCTGATTTGTGGTTTTTCCCTGACTAGTGATTTATCAAATTACAATAAAAACAAGACTTATAATTTAAATTCTGCCCATGCTTAGACTTGTCAGAAAACAGCAGCCAATTTTCCAGCTTGAAAAGTCACTTGAATGCTCAGTAGAGTGTTTGAAGTTGTTTTGTGGGAAGATTGAAACGCTGCTTTGAATTGCTAAGAAATAGCTGAATGGAGAACTGAAGATACAGAAAACAGACTCCTGCCCAATATCAATTTTAGAAGGACCTAATGATTAGTGACATATTTTATGTGAGACATAAAATTCAACCTGTGGACTTCCAGTTGCCTGAACTTTGAGACCCCTTTTCTTACACACAGATCCATTATTGTGTCTTCACTTAAATGGAACATGAAGCAGCGTGTACAATGTCACATGTCTCAAGAATGGGATTACAGAGAGTAGCAAAAACTAACATTTTTTTTTATTTTTTTATTTGGGGGTGTAAGTAATGTGGTGAGTGTTTGCACAAGCAAAACACAATTATCTGAGGTGTACAAATAATAGAAATGTATAATGTAAACATATGATCAACTTGTGCATACACACAAATATAATAAATAATATAGAATAGAAAATCTGTGTCTCTAGTAGACTAAGAAACAATTAAGTAAGAAACAATAAAAAAAAAAAAAAGACCTGTCCTCTATCTTCAGGTTTCATAAAAACACACAGAGAAATTAAAACAATACTTTTGTACCTTTATAACAGATCACTTGGTGAAGAAATTCATCTTTTGCAATGAAGGGGTTAATGATATTAGTAAAAAATGCTCGATATCTAGAATAAAAAAAGTTTTATTTTAATAATGCATTCCAGGTCGATAGAGAATTATGGGAGTTGTAGTTCAATAACAAATGTGGAACCCCAGTTTGAAATCATCTTTTAACTGTCGGCTAAAAAGCATGGTTAATGGGACAGACAGTACTGAATTGATTTTGAAACTCAAAATGTTGAACAATACTGGGTTAAATGGTGTAGATACACAAGCAAGTTGTACATTCATTTATTGAGCATCCAATATAAATTGCTATAACTTTTTCCAGTGACTCTTTAATAACAAACACTGACCTTTCTATCGCCGGTTCTTCAATATCAAATATCATTTTTAATGCATGAACATCTTGGAACATTTGGAAGAAACAGAGTTAAAAAAAAAGAAAAGAAAAAAAAAAAGTAAAGTCTTTGCTGTGCTTGGATACGCAGCGACCCAGCATAGATGTGTGAAGCCACCTTGCTTTCTGCCAAGGATTTTGATATTATAGAAGTTCAATGAACGTCCCTGCATGGCTCCTGTGATGGAAAACAGAACTACGCACCCCTGCAGTTAGCATGTAATGCTCACTAGAAAGCACGGTCATTATTTATTTATTTTTTTAAACCAAAAATCAAAGATGGTGTATTCATAATTATTTATAAGACTTACCACCTTACCCATTTGTTGGTTCAAGAGGTTACATTTGGTGTAGACAACATGCCTTCCAGGGGCAGTATCCACAAACAAACAAGCAAACAAACAAACAAAACATTTCACTTAGCTACTAAAATCATACACATGATGGTATTTCTCAAATTGCATAGATATATGTGCCATACATATAATATACATATATATATATATATATATATACATACAGTTACCAACCTCATGCTGATGATTTGCATTAACAATGAAACAGCTGTCCATGAGTGGTCACTGGCTTTGCATCTTTTCATAAGTTGTGTTTCAAAGCTGTTGAATACAGCAGACACAGACTCAAATGAATCCATGTTTAAAATGGAATGTGGCAAAAATGTGATTCTTTGTTAAATTAATTTGCATATGGCCACCCAGAATCCTTTGCTGGCACATATATTATGCAATATACTATGCAATTTGAGAAATACCATCATGTGTATATATATATATATATATATATATATATAAAAAAAATGTAATAGTCCTTGAACTCACACTCCAAAATTAATGTTGCTGGGTGCATACTAAAAGCCCAGTGCCAAAAAATATTAAATATATAGAAACTGGCTTGCACTCACGTTTTTTTTTTTTTAAGTTAAAACGATATCTTTATTGCAAATTCAGAAAAACTCTGATCAACGTTTCAGCCCCCTTCTGTGGCTTTCCTCAGGATCATACATTACATCGTACATAATGTATGATCCTGAGGAAAGCCACAGAAGGGGGCTGAAACGTTGATCGGAGTTTTTATGAATTTGCAATAAAGATATCGTTTTAACTTCAAAAAAAATGTTAGCCCAAGCCAGTTTCTATATATTTTATATATATATATATATATATATATATATATATATATATACACACACTATTACAGGCCATTTATGGGCATATGGCCATTTGTTAACTTCAGAACTTAGAAGTGGACTTTGGTGTGATGTAAAGCTGAGCAAGAGCATCCTGCTAGCTCTTGTGACTCAGCTGTCACTCACCAGAAAGGAATTGGAGAAACAGGCAGCATGGTCACTCCTCTGCATTACGAAGGACCAGAGCATTGTGAGGCCCCACAACCTCATTTATTATTGTCTGTCTGAGTATCTGTCCACGACTGCTCAGGGAGCCACATAGGAGTTTTATCAGAAGGAAACAAAGATTCCTTTGCATTGCCAATGAAATGAGCCGAACTGAACTACCAGGACCCTGGGATTTATCTCAGTGGGCCATGGTATTTGTGGCCAGGTTTTTTTTTAAACAGAAACTTTGAATATCTGTTTTTGTTAAGAGATACTCCAGATACCTAAAATACTTCACGTTGCTGAAGTGATTTATGTATGAGGAGTTTGTCCTCTTTTTTTGGTTTTACAAAAAGTGCAGATTTCAATAGAAATTGGCACTTTTACAAATTAACCTTGTTACGCCTTCCTGGCTGTTAATCAGACAATCAGTCCTGTTACTTCCTGGTTTGTTTAATGCAGTGGAGATAAACTCATAAGGCAGCAATTGCCCAGAGCACCTGCCTTGAAAAGACTTCTCATTGAGGTGCACTGGGAAGTCTGTGATTGGACAGCCACAGAAAGTATGGGCGGGTTTAGAATGGGAGGGCTTGGAAAGACAAGAGATCTGTAGCTTTTGCAAGTTGTTTTAAATATACCCCCAATGAAAAAAAAATGCATTATTAAAAGCAAGCATGATTTAATTTGGGGTATAGCTAATATATAGTGATTTTTATTATTTATTTATTTTTGTATTTGGGAAGTGGAGTGTCCCATTCATTTTTCCTAGATCTGCTTTTCGTATTTGAATAAATAAAACAAACATGTATGTTGTAATACTTAGTTTTGGGTTCCATGTAAGTGACAACAATTAACTTGCCATAGCTGTGCTTAAAATGTTTTTGTTGAACTACATACTTGTCTTTCTTTTTGAAATATCCAGATATTTACAAAAAGGTGGAAAGACATATTTTATGTACATACTTAGAGCAAAGCACATATGTTTCATATAGGATGATATATCACTTTTAACATCATATATGAATTGCACATTACATTGAGAAACTGTACCATTGTGTTGTTTGTTTCATTTTATTTATGTAATAAGAAGAAGCAAATATCTTCAAAGCACCAAGAGCTCTAATAACCACGGGGATCCACTAAATATGAGTGCACAGCTACTCACAATACAGTATTATTTATTCCTTGTTTAATTATATTACACTATATTATGTCTTACTTCTGTTTCCTGTTATCTGTGACTGCCTAACAAACTATGCTTGGCAACATCTTTTAGTTGTAAATATATATCAGCAGAAAAACATTGGAGGGGAGGCACCACCCTTAGTTGGCACCAACATAAAAGATGTAACTCGAGATATACTTGCCATACGTAGTACTCAACTTTTTTGTCTTTGTCCTAGACCAGTGAGCATCCAATATACCCAGTCCTCATGAACTACCAACATTTTAGGTTTTCTCAGTATCTCCATTTGAATAAAAAAGTGAAATACATAAATCCTGGACTGTTGGTGGTCCACGAGGAATGGGTTGGGGACCACTGTCCTAGTCCATTTCGTCTAATATTAAGGATAAGAAACATAGAAACATAGAATGTGACGGCAGATAAGAACCATTCAGCCCATCTAGTCTGCCCAATTTTCTAAATACTTTCATTAGTCCCTAGTCTTATCTTATAGTTAGGATAGCCTTATGCCTATCCCACACATGCTTAAACTCCTTTACTGTGTTAACCTCTACCACTTCAGCTGGAAGGCCATTCCATGCATCCACTACCCTCTCAGTAAAGTAATACTTCCTGATATTATTTTGAAACCTTTGTCCCTCTAATTTAAGACTATGTCCTCTTGTTGTGGTAGTTTTTCTTCTTTTAAATATAGTCTCCTCCTTTACTGTGTTGATTCCCTTTATATATTTAAATGTTTCTATCATATCCTCCCTGTCTCGTCTTTCCTCCAAGCTATACATCTTAAGATCCTTTAACCTTTCCTGGTAAGTTTTATCCCGCAATCCATGAACCAGTTTAGTAGCCCTTCTCCGAACCCTCTCTAAAGTATCAATATCTTTATATTATATATATAGGGTTTGTCGATGAAACTTTGTTTAGTATACATAAGGCTTTTGCCACATGCACAGTCTGATAGAGTTTCGAGAGAGTTAAACTACATGGTGTTATGTTATCTTTCATTTCTATCTAAACAAAAGTGACAAAAGGATGTACTTCTTCTTCAGCTGTTCTTTGACTGAGAAGAAATCGTGTTCTATTTTATCTCGGCTTTAGTTTGCTTCAGTTTTTTGCCTCTTTGTTCAGTTTGTTCAATTTGGTTGTCACATTCACTGCTTGAACTTTAGTTTGAATACACGCTTCTGACAGAAGTGTGTATAGCTCTGTAATTCAAGGACACATATTCTGTACAAGATTCACACTTTTTCTCAATTTAAACTGAATCTCACAAGTTAATTCATGGCCATATACTGAACACAAGCAATTGAAAGACAGACATTTCTAAGCATGGCTATCCAATTAAACATCTTTTATTCTTAAGTGATCGTGCAATGTTAATTATGTTCATAAGTTAACTTTTTAAAGTGACTGTGCAATAAATATATACAAATTCACGTCAAAGTGCATTCAATGTGAAAAATATAAAGTTTCATCAAATGGTGTATTACACAAAAATCTTATATACAAATCCTGGGATAAACATCTTGAAAATAGCTCAGGAGAAAATAAAATAATATACAATAAAAACAGTGTAAAAAAAGAGTGGGGCAAATTTTAAATATATTTCTTTAGATAGTCATTTACCAACTCACATTTTCCAGATCCTGAATGAATGGCCCTTATATGGCAGTAGAGTCTATTATGGGTGACACCATCTCTCATTTTTCTGTGCCTCCTCTCTATTCCCACTAGTAGGCAAAAATAATTGCAAACAAAGGGAAGTATATAGTAGAGCACCTCTAACACAACATACAAAGCAAAATACTTTGTTCAGTATCGCACTCACAGCTACTGGAACCTAGTGGTATAATCTCACTTTGAAAGCTCTGGTGCCTGTTAGCTGAATGGTACCTCCGCTCCCATGCTGACATATTTCCATAAATCAAGGTTCCAAATTTAAATTTATCAGCTTTTATGAGGAACAAAAACATACATTTAAAATATAATCAAATTCTGAAACACGTTTCACCTCTTGAGTTCAGGCTTCCTCGGTCAGTACTAGCATCTCTCAATGCTGTCCTTAAATGTGCTCCATGCTGCCCATTCAATGTGTGCAGTATGTGTTCCAAGCCTCAGCTTATTCAATGATGGATAAGGATAGGGATTTCACCAAAATGAGATTTGGATAATGATGCATTGCAATGTGGAGAGTTGTATTGAGGAAGAGGCAGAACCAAGATTGGAACGCATGTAATTGAAAGCCTATAAAAAAAAAAAAAGAAGTCCAGAATTATAGCTTTTTGTATACACTTTGAAGTTAATTCATGTATATTTAATGAACGGTTACTTTAGAAGGTTACCTTGTGAACATAATTAATGTTGCACCATCACTTTACGTGTCCCACTTTTAGAAGGAACATACTTCTAAATGTAATTTGTGAAAAATAAGCACATTGAATGTTTTAAAGCAACGTAATATTGATTTGAGAATATTTCCTTGTAGATATTCAATAAAGCAACTAATTGCACATTGGTTTAGACTGTCAATCTTTATTTTTTACAAGACACAATTTTGTGCCCAGAGATGCTGCTCATTTATTGAATGTACCACTAATTAGATATTGGACTAAAAAAATACTTTCTATTACTTTTAAATACCAAAGTCCTGATATTAAGACATCTAAAAGGGGAGTGATCCAAAATATTCTTTTTGTGTCATAACGTAAAAATCTTAGCAATGATGCAATCTGCTCCCATTGAGAAATGAATGGACCTTTTATTATCATCTCAAGTTATGGAAATGGTGTGAGGGTAAAAGAGGAAGCACATTCTTTCTGATTGTAGGAGGGTCCTTGAGATTCTTGCTATGTTTAACGTTATCTAGCACTTAGTACATAACCTCCGCAATGTCATTTTATTGACACACACCTTTGTGAAAGTAGGAAAATAATCAAATGCAGATTTTCTTTGTGAAAGTATAACATGCAGTTAAAGACACGTACATTAGCCCCTAAACTTAAACTCACATCACTCTTGGACACGTAGACCATAGATAAACAAAAGAAACAAAATGAAAAATCCCAAACCCCAAATGCACAGTTCCAAAATAAGAGTTTCAGTATCAGTCAATAGTTATAAAATGTAAATAAAGTGTCAATCTCCTTAGAGATTTTTAGTGGTTTGAGCAGAGGCTAAATATGTGTTTGGAAAAAACCTCATGCACAGGAAGCACAGCATCATAATCATGTGGCTAGCTGTGTATGGAACAAAAGACTTGTGATAATAGAGAAGGTTAAAATGTTGACACTGAGACTTTGTTCAGACAATGAGGGGGAGTGATCTGTAGGCATCAAACTAAAACCTGTGCCAGCATTCTATAAAGCTATGCAAATTCATTTATTATTACTATGCACGATAGCAAATAATGAATGTACAACATTTAAATAAGTTACCTGTGAATTCACACACCTAGGGCTCAGTAGAGATACATACATTTTCAGCTTTTTCATTATACCTCACATGCTTAAAGCAATCAACACTCGAGCTCCAATATTAATCGGTT